ATAAAAGCCGCCCTTAGAGTGCTAAGCAGCAAGAGATAGTCCACCGTCAGGTGATTGTGTTGACAGAGGCAACGCCGTCCTTGGAAATGGTCGAGCCGCTCGCAGAAACCTGAGGGCTGTTTGCAGTAGCAGCAACAGCAGTAGCAATGCCCTGGTCGTTATGTGAGACCACAGCAGCCGCTTGCTTTTTGCTCTCGGCCGCCGCAACCGCCCCCTGAGAACCATTAGAGCCATCCTTACTCACCTCCTTCCTCCCAGCGACCACCACGCCCGCGGCGTTAGCGCATAGGCGCGCTATGCTCGGCGGCGCCAGGATCCTTATGACGGGCACGTCCTACCCCGCGGCCTTGTAGGTCCACACCCGAATCTCGACGGCCATGAGCGAGTCGACACCCAGGTCCGAGGCGCTGCAGCCCAGGAGCGGGGCCGCCGCTCCGCTTTCCGGCAGCTGCAGCATGGAGATATCGGCCCGTGGGCAGTGCTTCCTCCTGTTCGAGTCGCTTCCCGTAGTATTGAAGGATGGAGTACCACAGAGTCAGGGCCCTGTAGTAGCAGTTGCTATCAGTTATTGTATTCCGTACTAAGGGGCCGCCAATCCAGCGGGGGAAATTGAATTTTGACGAAACTTTTGTTCCCCCACTGTAGGACAAGCGATGATGCAATGATAGAACCGACATGTTTGACATCCTACCGGGAGCCGACCACATCCAGTCAGGGCTCGTTTCCGCCCCGGCCCCCCCGCGCATTACCCGAGAGCATGGTGAAAACTTCAGCCAGTTCACCCTCGCCGCCCGCCTGCACCGAAAAAGCCTCGGAACCTGCATAATATGACTGCGTGTGCTTGTGATATGGCCTGCCAGGAGCTAGAGGGTTGGCCGAGCAGCGCAGTGGGGGGAGCGTGTCCGGCGGTCGCAGCGCGACGGCATCTGCATCTTCAACCCGCTGTCCGTCGCCCGACCCCCGAACTCGGACACCGCCAGGGACGACCTCGCGCAGCAGGACGCCAGCGCCCGGGCCTGGCTCCGGCTGATTAGAGACAGGTGACGCAGAGCCTAACAAACAGATGACGACCGTTAATGAGTCACCACCTGCGGCAGCCTGGCTGGTACGGGACGCCTTGCAGCGGGTTTCTCAATGCCCCAGGCCTGGCCCAATAATTATTCCTGTTCAGAAGTAAGTAGGCGCGAGAAGGTGTGAAACATATGCATGCACTCACATTTGACACCATAGGCACACTGCTGCCTATTGTGTGAAATGGGTTTGCACGCGAAATCCCTCCTGTTCACGGGGGACAAACCCTTTGAGAGAGGAAATTCCGGCGTCCCGCACTCGCGATGAAAATACGACACGACTGCTGAGACATTCGGCAAAAGAAAGCAGATAATAAAAAGGTACCATCCCCTGGTTATCGCTTGATCCTCCAACTTTTCTTTGATCACTCAACTCAATCTCAAGAACCATTCCAAACAAGAGGAAAAGTTAACCCGCAACCCGACCTTATCCTGCAGGGCATAACTACAAGGTGATACACTACCCTGGACGACGGCCCGACGATGCGGGGCTAGTCAAAGCCCCCGAAGACGGCTCCACCTGGCTGGCCTTGACGCGGCGCTGCTCGCGCTCGCGGCGGGTGACGCATCTGAAGCCGGGCCGGCTGCATTCCGCCTTCTCCTCGGGGTCAGGATGGCGCGGGGCTGGGCGGCTGCGGCGGGGGCAACGTCGCGCTTGGCGCCACAGACGTTACCCGGTCTGCGGTAAATATCATTTAGGTCGGCGTTCCTATCGAGCGCCGGGTTCTGGGGCTGAGGCTGAGGCTGAGGCTGCGGCTGCGGCTCCCGCTTATCGATGCGAGAGAGGAGAGGTGTAAGGGCAGGGGGGTCAGGTTTATTGTTTTTCTTTTTGTTTTTAAGTCACTCTAAAAAGGCGGATGACGTGTAGCCCCCGTCTGCGGGTTGGGTGCTTGTAGCTGCGGGGTTAGGTAAAAAAAGAGAGAATAAAAAGACGGAGCGTGAACTAAATACCAGCCAAACAGCTGCATGTACCTAGGACAGGCTGGTAGAGATTTCACGGCTTGCTACGCATACGGGCTTTTGACAGTAAGACAGCTGGAAAGGAGGGTGGCGATAGGACGACACGATACGGGGAAGCAACGCATGCGATTTGCCAAAGCTACGACGCCCACATGCGCGCGTCGTGCCCTGGATGCGAGCCATATGCCTGAATTCGTTGCCGCCTTTTAAAAAGGGTTCCATTTCCAGTCTCCGTGCGGGGGGACTTTAATCCATAACTATCGCCAGCTTTGGGAGTTTCGCACTCTGTCCCCCCC